CTGGGCGAAAATTTCGTCCGTTTCGCTCTATCTTGTACCGTTTCGACGCTATGGCGCATTTCTTGACAAAAATGAGGTGAAAATGATCAAATGCTCGATTAAATCGTTAAAAGACTTCATTTCGAAAAATTGTATGTACCCTCCTATTACCCCGTCTCGGGTGTCAGCGCCGCAGGCCTAGCTATATGTGCGCCAGGCGCGTCGCAGCGTAACAGTGTTTCGTGAGATATCGCGAAGCCTGTTACGCGAGACGTGGTCTGGCGTACATATAGCTAGTTTAAATTTACGCGAGGCGAAAGTGGCCTCGCTAGGCCGACGGCCTACCGGGGGATCCCCCGGTGCCCGGGTGGGCCAGTCCGAGCCTGATACATCCTGTAGCTTCCATAATGGTGCGGTTGGCCCTCTCAGCCGTGCCATTCTGTTAAGGAGTATATCTGACAGTGGTCTGATGAAGTATGCCTTCTGTGCGGAGAAAATTCTCAAAATTAGCATTGACATACTCCTTACCGTTGTCAGAGCGGAGAATCTTGATGACTTGGCCAGTCTGCTTTTCAGCCATTGCTTTAAAGTCCTTGAATGTTGAAAAAGCCTCGGCTTTTGAAGTCAAAATATAGCAGAACATTTTTCTGCTAAAGTCATCCACAATCAACATGATGTACTTTCTTCCTCCAAAAGTAGGAATGCTCATAGGTCACATAAGATCTGTATGGACAAGTTCAAGCAACCTCGTTGCTCTTGAATCACTGCTGTGAAAAGTCTCCCTCGACATCTTGCCTTCAGCACAGGTTTCACACTTAAACGAATGAATAGATTTAATGTCAATACCAATTGAGTGGTGCAGCAGCTGCCTCATCTGGGATTCTCCAATATGCCCAAGTCTCTGATGCCATAGGTCTTGCTTGTCCGTGACGGCCATTGCAGTTTCCATTTGCATCACTTGGTCCACAACAAATAGTCCTCCTTATCTCCTTGCAGTCAAGATGATTCTTCCTCCGACATCCTTCACAACAGCTCCTTTTGAAGTGAAAGAAATAATTTGACACGTTGATTCGAAAGGCTTACACTTAACATATTCCAGGTAGTCCATGTAAAAAGTAGTAAAGTTGGTCACACAGATTCACTATCCAAACCACCTGAAACAAACAAAAACAGAACAGTTATGGAACATGTAGAGGAAGGACACTTACTGCACAAGGGATTATGTAAAATGGCTTTTTGAAAGAAAAGAAGACTACATCACAATACCATCACATCACACAACTAATCAGTTGCTCATTCCAACATTAATTGAACTAACAACCATAATATTTCATTAGACAATAAATTATTTTGCCTATACTGAAAACAAAGTTTTCCACCATCTTGTCAAGGTAATTCCCCTTCAAACTTAAAATGTTCAAAGTACTTCTGTATTTCATATTTGCCATGGATCATTGGATCAAGTAGGAGCCAAACAACGAGTAAGGCATAACATTTTAATATATTTGGTTCTGTATTTTATTATAACAATCAGCTAACTAAGTTTGTCATTTTTCGTGATAACAGCTTTGAATGCAATGTTATTCATTCGTTGGAACAGACCAACTGACCACATTCAAACCATTACCATCGACTGCCGAGGAAAGAGTTATCAAAAGATACATAGAAATGAATAGCACAGCACGAGCTAGAAGATACAAATGCAAAAATTGTGGACAATCTTTACTAGTAAGTAAAATAATTTACTCTACTTCTGAAAAAGAAAAAAGAAACATCCAAGATGGCGGCCAAACCAGGACGTCCATTTAAGTGCACTGTGTGTTCTGAGTCAATTAAAGATCCAGAAGAAATGACAGAGTGTCAAACATGTACAAGGTAGATGTACGCCAGACCACGTCTCGCGTAACAGGCTTCGCGATGTCTCACGAAAAACTGTTACGCTGCGACGCGCCTGGCATACATCTACCTTGGCCTGCGGCGCTGACACCCGAGTCGGGTAGTGGAAGAATGTACACAAAGATATGGGCCTACGGCCCGTCAACGGCCCATCACCTCAACTAAGCATGCAGGGTTGAACATTTTTTCGCTTATTTTCGTCAAAAATACCCTCTAGCGCCTCAACGGTTTGAGTTAGAGCAAAACGGACAAAATTTTGGCCAGACGGAGTAATAGGCTTCGCTAATCGCTCAGCCAACCAAGAAAGCACATAAAGCCTGTGTACCGAAAAATACGATCGGAACCACTGACAGGTTCTTCTGCATCAAATGTGACAGGGTCAACCAGATCATAACCTCAATTGGGCACGATGGGCCGGCGACGTCCATTCAAACTGATTCCAAAACAGCAAATAAGGTAACTACCACGCCTGCTCAAGTAGACATTGACAACAGAAATAGCAAGAACTATGAGATTCTGCAAAAAATTCTAGCAAAAGTTACTAAGCTTGAGGAACAAGTTACTAATCTAACAAATACGAATGCCAAACTCAGTACTGAAGTAGCACACCTGCATGCTACGATTCAGAACCAACATGTGACACAAGGTGCTGATAGAAAAACACCCAGCAACAAGGCGCGCGGCTCCAGCAAAGAAAAAGTCAAGCGTGATCCAAACGATCAGAAGAACAAAAAGGAAACCAACTACTCAAGAAATCAAATCTACATGATTTAAGGTAATCTCTTGGAGGCAATGGACACCGATGGGTTTTCTGCAATTCAGTTTGTGGCTAAGGATATGAGAATGGGTAGAGGTATTGCCCTAAAACTTAAAGATAAACTTAACATCGATACTGAAGCACTAAAGAAGAACTGTGAAGTGTCAGACATTCCGAACTGGAACGACTTTAAAAGAACTGTCAAAAAGCTTCCAGAGACATGTGGTAGGCTCAATATAGATAAGCTAGTTATGCCGAAGATTGAATGTGGTCTTGATGCCTTCAAGTGGCCAAATGTAATGAAGGTCCTCAAATCTGTGTTCTATGACAGCAACATTGAAATATATGTGCTGTGTAATGACAAAGATGAAGAGCCAATGTATGTGAGAAGAAGTAAAGACGGCAAAAAGAAAAAAGGAAGGTCACAACTGAAGTAATCGGAGACAGCCATGCCAAAGGCTTGTTCCAAATGCTTCGCAAAGATAAAGACAAGACATACTATGTCAAAGCCACTGGAGGTGCCACCACTAGAACTGCCACCCAAGACCTAAACTTGTACTCATCCTACCTCACCCCAGAGGATAATCTAGTTGTCATGACAGGAACTAATGATATTGATTTTAACAACCAGACACAAGACCTAACTAGACTAGATGAGGCAAGAAAGGATATTGTTTCACAAGCCAAGCATACAAGAGTCACCATGTTGACCGTACCTTGTAGATATGACAAAGAAGATGCTAATTCCAAAATTGATGACTACAAAAACCACATAAAAAATATGATCCTAGCTGAAGCTACTGAGCAAGGATTACTAGAAAGGATACAAATTGTTAATGTTAACGAAATGCTCACTAGAGACCACTACTCGGAACAGGGCCTGCATCTCAATACTAATGGGAAAGAAGTGCTATGCAACCTCATTAAAAAAGCAATTGAAGACTTTGGCACCTTGTCATGCCTCCCAACAGACAATGAAAACATGGAAAATGAAGGAAACAAAAATGAAAAGAACCCAGAACTGCCGGTTAGCAAAACCTCTCCTGAACAGGAAGCATCAGACGATGAAGATATGGGGTTTGGCCTTTTTGACTAAAAAGACAAAGAGCAGACCCCAGGAAACAGCTAACAGAAGTTACATAAAAGTCATTTAAAGAAAAAAATAAACCTAGATAACAAGACTGACTACAAAAAGACTGCCAATCTGAAAATACTTCACCAAAATGTGAGGTTCATTAGCCACAAGAAAAATATGATTGACAACCTCCTAGGCGAACTTGCTCCTGATGTCATGGTTGCCACTGAAACAGCACTAATTGAAGGTGAACCAGACACCTCTAAATATCCAGGATACCTACATGGAAGCAGCTTCTGCAGGCAAAATAGCATTGGGAGAGGTGGGGGAGTATCCATCCACCTTAAAGAATGCTATAAAAACTCATTCCAAGAAGTAGATGTCAAGGAATATGCAGTTGAAAATATCTTTGAAATTTGTGCTGTCAAAATTACAATAAGCAGTGACACCAGGAATTATTACGTATTTGGAATATATAGGCCTCCTCCACTAAAAAATATCGATGTCTTCTATGAAAATTTGTCAAACTTATTACTCAACTATACCAGCCCAGAAAACATAATCATTGTGGCTGGTGACCTAAATATAGATCTTATGTCAAAATCTAGAAATGCAAAAGAACTCACTGAGACACTTGAGTGCTATGGATTGAGCCCGTGTTTCAACAGTGTTACTAGAAAGTACTACGATACTGAATCATGCATTGACAACATCTGTATTAATGGTGAATTTCCTATGGAAGCTGAAATTTTGGAAACCTATATATCAGACCATTATGCGCAGTATCTTAAGCTGTACCTTCAGATGGCTTATGGGGATAGTTCTGTTTATAATGTTAAAAGATCCTGCACCGACCAAAATATTTTACAACTTTCTGTGCTTCTGCAAAAAGAGAATTGGCAAGATGTCCTAATGTCAACTGGTGCTGAGGAAGCAATTGTTGCCTTCTTAGATACCTTTAACTATTATTTTAATATTGCTTGTCCAACTAAAAAAAAGCTAAATCAAAAAAGGAAGTCGTAAAGGGCACAATAAGATACCCGATGATATTAAAAAAATAAAAGACATTATTGATCTTGTAAACGAAAAACAAAGTAATGGCCCCCCATCAGATGATCTTAAAGAATAGACCATTCCACCGAATGGGGAAGAAGAAAGAAAAGAATCAAAAAGTACCGGAAACAGTACCGAAAACCAGTATGTAGATCATTTGTGTACACCTCTATGGCACACCAACAAGTCCAGAATAATTATCTTGGCCAAAAAAACTAGAAAAAGTGAACGATTTGATCTGTTTATCAATACTGTTTCCGGTGGTT